CCGCCAAGACGCTTGGGACCGTTTATGTGCCTCGCAGCTTAACCAAAAGAGTGCTTACGATCGCCGGCACCGCGACGTACAGTACTCTCCGGGGTCGCTCGTCTTGCTGTGGTTACCATCACGTCCTGTTGGTCTCTGCGAAAAACTGATGTCCCGTTACGTTGGCCCCTACCGCGTCATACGCAAGGTCACCAGTGTGACCTATGAGATAGCTACACTCCATACCACGTCAGTACCAGCTTCAGTCCCGACCGATATAGTAGTGTACGTCTCACGGCTTAAACCATACTACTCACGCCTCGAGAATTGATCGCACCAGGACGGTGCTTCTGCCGCCGGCGGGTAATGTCACGGGCTAAGTAGATGCCTGAGGATGACGACGACGAAGTGCTGAACGTGAACGTGCTCGGACTGCTAGCAGCGTTGTACGCATTTGCTCGCCAGTATATTCGCCAGTACGCATTTGCTTGCCAGTGTATACTTTATTCCCCGTAACAATATGTGCGTCATTGTATATAATAAGGGAGTTTCCTGCTTGGCTACTGGCTGCTGCACACCTCGTGTCAGCCTGCGCTTCAGTGCTTGTGCCCTGTGTTGTTTGTGCGGCGCGTTCGCCTGCACTGATACTACAGTTATCAATGCAAGCCAAGGTCAAGCTTGCACTAGGCCTAAACGACAAGGACACCTGCCACGTGACTGACGGTAACTGGTAACAGGCTCACATCAGCTTGACAGTGCGTTGTGCATCAGAGCGATGCGTTTCAGCCGGACTGTGGACAACATTGGCATCGGGCAACGGAGTTTAGATGAAGTTCCATTCAGACAATGACCTGACTGTTGGGGCAAAGTGGCCAGACTTTAGGTTAAAAACTCTAGTCAGATTCAGCAACAACTGAGAATTCAGTGACATTACTGTTGTATATTTGTTTAGAATGATTTTAAGGTCTTCACGGTTAGCAGGTTTTTTTCTGACTGTTGAATATTCTTCCAGTTTTTCCTTGTCTGTTGTTAAACCGCACTTGCTGTTCAGCACCCTTCAAATTCATTGTGAATAGCACACGCCCTGGAGATACATGACATGCATAAAAAAACAGAAGCAAAAGTGGCCGCGTGCTACGAAACCAAATACTAGCCACACTGATACTTACTTCAGATTGTTCTTCAGTCAATCAGTTTTGACTTTTTGCAACACTACGAAAGGCTGCATGACACACTTATCACCAATCTTATGCAAAAATAATGTACTTGTAGTTCTCTAAAAGCGTGACCATCCTAGCACCAGATAACTGGAGAGTGAGAGAGCCCGCGCGGCAGTGAATTGCAGGTTGCTAGATGGCTGCCTCTTGTGCAAGTTCCTCTAATTTTGGAGGAAGGTGAGCTTAGGAGAGACAGCTAGTCACATTTTTTGAAGCCAGACGTGAAGGCTCCTCTTTGATAGGTTGGTTATGCTTCACATTGCTTGCACACGCACCACCAGCGCCATGAAGAGCAATGCACGTGACCAGACAACATTGCTTGCACACGCACCACCAGCGCCATGAAGAGCAATGCACGTGACCAGACAATCTCGCAAAATGCCGGGCCATCATCCCTGCTGTCATTGTTCCCTTGCCCTTTCAGAGAGGTTGTCATGGTCTTCCAAAAGCAGTTACTACGGCATGCTAAGTGAACTAAGCACACAACTGTAAAAACCAATGCCACAGTGGGCCTGACATAATTCATGATATGCAACGACTGCACGAAAATTCCCACCAGCAAATCCACTCAGAAATTTATGGCTTTGTCAGCAACATGGTCATGTGGACGGTAAGTCATCCATCCATGTGTCATAATGACTGCTCACAGAAAAGCACTCAATAACATGGCTAGCGGAGCTCAAAATCAGGTTACGAACAAGGTCTAAAATGATATAATTAACAGAAATAATAAAGAAGTTATCTCATTAACTTAAAATTGCTAAAATCACTTTGAATACATGTGCCTCACTGCCATGATGCACAGGACAACAACCCCCTTGCTAAAAGCACGATGGCTCCTCCTGCTATGCACTCTGCCGGTGCATAGGTCAACACACTTTGATGGGTGAAGCATTCCTGAAAGAACTCATAGCAGACAACATGTATCTCAACTGCCGTGACAAGAAGAAGTTGACAAAGCACAGCAAAAATAAGGGTGCATGTCGTGCACCACTGCGCTTGCAGAACATCATCAAACCATTTTGCACCATAAATTTAGCAACACGCTGTATAGTAAGGCCACTATGGACAATTATATTATAACCTCCTTCTCACCCCTGCCTTGCCTCCTCAACTCATGTTACACACAGGCATCAGCTGGCAATGGCAGAGCTCTCATAAGCGCACCTGATGATTTGAGCTTTGCCTAGTCATGACCTCAGAGATTGCACGCTGACAGGTTGTGCGCAGTCTTAGAGACCATAGCCCAGAGCACCTGGCAGCGTGTACGCACGCCGTCTGGCAACAGAGACGAAGATCGTGGAGTGGCTGGTATCTGCTCTGACAGGTGCTGCCAGCCTACCAGCCGATCCAACTTATGCCCACTCACCACCCAGTCAGATCAGCAGCCTGGGTGACGTCGTGCCACTAGAGGATTTTGTACTATGAATGAGCGGTTGAAAAAACGTTTGGCTGAGCTGCAGAGATCTGCAGCCATTCACAGCATTAAAGCGTTCTAATAAATTGCACAGTTTACACAGAGCACTTAAATCAGTCTGTAAATGCCCCTTAGGACTTGGTCTACCAGCCTAGTCTAATGTGTTAGCACAAACATCGTCAAAACTGTTTCGGGGGTTGGTTTAATGCTATTGTCACGATGAGTCACAAGTACTGGGGGATTTATTAAACCACCGGGTAGCAATCTCTAGGACGATGCGTCAGTCGTGGCTGGTTTTCGAGCAGAGAAGAAACACGCGACCTTCTTTTTCCTCCAGATTGAGAGCCGCTCTTGCTGTCGACCCACTACGTGCTGGTGGCACTATTGTCGGGGTGATAAACGGATCAGTGGGAACTTTATGTACAGGAATCGCTGCGTGATCGTGCTAAGCACTTCCACAGGTTTCACAGTTGTAGAGCTATCATACGTTTTTTGTTACGCATGCAGCTTGGATGCTGTCTTTCCTCCCTGACGATGATCCACAAGCTGGTTGTTTAAGCAATGAACAGTGTGCCGCATGAAGCAGTTTACACTATGGGTGTTTGCTGTCTGCTGCAGGAGGTACTGTCTGTAATAAGCCGCTGTCTAAAAAAACCAGCTGATGGACCACATGGCTCTGCTTTGTGTGCACTTGCACTCCCCAATTATCTGGTGCTAGGGGGCTGGTGCATTCCAGAGGCAGGATAGTGTGTGAAATCGCAAAAGCATTCTTTATCACAGGCCGGTAATAAGTGTGTCATGCAGCCTTTGGTAGTGTTGCGAAAAGCGGAAATTGATTATGTGGAGAATCACCTGAAGTCTCACTGAAGTTAGTTGTCGACTTCCAAATAGTATGTAGCCACCTTTATCTTTTTTATTTTAATGAACTTACAGTTGTCAATGAGATGTCATCTTGTCATCCACATCACTCTTCTGATGTCCATGTATTTAGTGCTCTTCTGCAATGTCTTAAAGAGCCACTCACCAGGCCCCATACCGAATTTTAGTTAGACAGTGGAAGGTAGTTGGGTGTCCGATGAGGAACATTTTGCCAAAAAAAATTTTTAGAATCGGTTCATCACGAGCGGAGAAAACAGGTTTTTTGAAGCGGTGCGAAACGAGGATGAGAGGAGGCGAGCTCGAAACCCTTGCCGCTCCTCTGCGTAGCCTTCGCAAGCCAAATCTCTTCCCACCCTCTCCAGCATCCGACCATGAGGTGACGTGCACATGACGTGCCCAAACAAATCCAACCCCTGAGAACGCGAGCAGCGTTGCTTTGTTGATCAGCATTATTTTGTGGTCTTCTGCCTGTTTCTGCGGGATGGTTTGGAAACGCTAGCTTAGACGCGGTAGAGTAGACGAGCACAATGAGTGCGCGAACGCATAAGAGTGTTCCACAGCGGTCGTCTGCTCAATGCGCTGACTGCGGGGACACGAACGCATGCGAAACACTGGCACATTAGCCTCGCATCTCGTAGCATTTCACGGGAAAAAATAAAAGAAAAACGCGCACAATTTTTATTGCATCTCATTATTTATTTCAAGTTTCATTAATCTCTTAAAGCAACAAATACATAAACTATGCATGTTGTGTTAAATAATTTTTGCCATGTCACGTGGTATGCTGTTGACAACGTCAGAGCAAACTCGTCTACATAGAGGACCAACGCCACTGCATTGCCGTGTACATAGGGCCATTCCTACGCCTACGTCATGCCCTCATTCTCTACGCGTGGGCCGGCAGAGGGGAGGGGGAGCAGCTTTCATCTTGAAATTTGACCCATTTCCGTGGCGCGTAGCGTTGCAAAGTTTGGAAGACGTGATCATGAACGCCTCGTCTACGCATTGCGCTTGTCAGCTTAAAATTGTCCAACCTGGTGAGTGGCCCTTTAACAACATACCAGATAATCCATCATACTAAGTACTTACCGTGCTTACTGATGCACACTGTGATTTCTAAAACCAAGGATACACAAGTCAGTGCACACTTATTCTTTGGAATAGCTATACTCCATGGAAGACATCGCTTGGCGTTTGGTTAATTGAAACCGCTTCGAAGTGCACAAGTGCAGGTATTAGTGATAATGTTCTTATAAGGAACAATCATGGAAATCTATATGCAAATTTGCCACAGTTGGTGCTGTCAAATGTGCTTTTCTTTATTAGAATGCAAGATTTACATGGCATTCATGATTATGTAAACACTTAACGAGAAAATTTATATTTTTTCACATACTTAAGGTAGTCACTGCCACTTCATTCTAATTTCTGGGTCCTATAATTCTCCGTGCCTTCGGTAATATACCAACACAAAAAGGTGCTAGAATGGCAGCTAGGAGTGGGCATACCTGCACGTGAAATGTGTTGTTGCCGTCGTATCCCGAGCTCCCATCATCTGTGCCTTCTGTAGAGAAAGGGTCCGAAGCGTCATCATCGTCACATGGCTCCTCTTTTGCCTCCACCTAAGAAAGGCCAACATAGTAAAGTGTACAGATCGGTGAGAGGAATCCCAATCACATGCTGTACACTCGGCAATTGAGCACTGTTGCAAAGCGAGACTGACCCATGCGACTCTGTGATTGCATTGGCAAGATTATGAAGATCATGGCCACAGTGGCACAGAAGCAACAGCCCGACCACAAAGTTTTTTGTGCTCCAGCCAAAAACATATGCCAGTGCAATCAGGGCAAGCCTCCAGATTGGTCCATCTATCTGGCCCTCTTTTGCAAAAGAAAAGGGTGGAATGGACCAGTCCTGAAGGCAAATAAATACCATTTTTAGCACAGCATCTCAAACTGCAAGAGCAGTATAGCAAGCACACTATTGCTTTTATAACCAACATATGTTATGCTATGCAGTAAAAAGCAGTGGTCAGGTTGGCTATGCTAAAAATGTGTTTAATGGCATATTCGCTTGGTTGCTTACGAGCTCTCTGAAGAGGGACTTTTCGTTTGATTGATAGAATTCGAGCGCTCACAATACCTTAGCTAGTTCTTTCGGATCACCAGCCTTCAACTCAGAGCGCTCTCGACTGCTCCGACTTCGAAGCGATAGCGTGGAGCGATCTGACCGGGAGGATGGATCGCATGACACAAGCCGGCAAATCACGTGGCTGCCGGCAGGTGAACTGTGTGAACAGTGCCAACAGTGTGAGAGTGCATTTTGGAAGGGGACATCACCGGGCATGTAATACTTCATGCGTGTGTGTTGTTCATGGCATTTCTGAGCATATGACCACCATGTCAATAAGGAGGCAGCTAGCGAAGGCAGAGAGATGTCACTGCTGTCAATATGACAGCTCACAGACAGCCACGTGATTTGCCTTGAAAAATGCAGCTCGGACGATGATGACCACCACATTCATGTGCTGAGCTCAGAAAGCTTTTGCTGCAACCAGTCATGTTGGTGATGTCCACTGATTGATAGGCGCCATTTGTCGATGCGACACAGGAATGTTTACCCAGCCACTTTTCGTACCGGCTGCATGGTGGTGAAACAAACACGCTGCTCCAAGATTGCCAATGCATTCAGTTTATTTATTTATTTAGAATACTCTCAGGGCCAATGGCATTACAGAGAAGGTGGGGCAGAAATACAAAATATTAGAAGTAGTTCAGAAACAGGTTACACGACAGAAAAGAACAAAAAAAAAACAGAACAAGTACTCCCAATTATTCAAAAGTACATTTCAAAAAGATTACAAGTAGTTACACAAATAATAGTGGCACAAAAATAAAACAAAATACATGATATGTTAATTATAAATGAAAGTGAAAATTCGGTGTATCAATGAAGATAGACACATGATATTAATATAGATGGTGGTGCCTAGCTTAATCGATTGATTTGTGGGGTGTAATGTCCCAAAACCACCATATGATTATGAAAGACGGCATAAAGGAGGGCTCCGGAAATTTTGACCACCTGGGGTTCTTTAACATGCACCCAAATGTGAGTACACGGGCCTACAGCATCTCCGCCTCCATTGGAAATGCAGCCGCCACAACCAGGATTTCATCCCACGAGCTGCCTAGTTTAAAACAAAAGAAAGCTTGGAGAAAAATATCACGTACAGCTTCTTTAAATTGGTTAGTATCCTTGATGGTGACAACATCTGGAGGAAGTTGATTTCACTCATCACTTTTGTGTGGCACGAATGAGTGAACAAAAGAGGAGGATCTAAAAGATGAAATGCAGAATTTGTGTTGGTGATCAATGCGAGATGATATGTAATGTGGTGCCGAAAAAATCGAGTTGGTGTCGTAATAGGGGGTAGTGATATATCCTATAAAACAGAGAGGTGCGCGATTTTTCGTCACAAGCCTAGAGATGGTAATTCTAGATTAGTTTTCATTAAACTGATGCTAGCAGTCCTGTTACAGTTAAAGAAATGAATTGTGTGGAACTGCTTTGATTTTTTCTACTAAATCAATTACAGTCGACGTCTGATTCCCTGGATGCCCAAAATTCCGGACATGCCCGATTTCTCGGACTCATCTGTGGTACCATCAAGTTCCCTGTAAAATCAATGCATTAAAAAGTCCGGAATTTTGGACGCTTATAGCCTTCGGCATCTGATTTCCCCGAGTTTTTACTATTAATTGCAGACCCAAAGGCACCACCGACACCGCCATTTTGGTTGTTTTCATATGCTCGTGCCGCGGCTGCTATAACCTCGAAACCGCACATGTCTATCAGCTGCCAGCCATAGCTTAGCAGATAAGCTAAGCCAAACCTCACTGTGTTCGTTCACGAGTTGTTTTGTCAGCTTCTGTGGTCGTGTCTGCGGTTGATCGCTTGCTGCTGCGCGCTATCTTCAGTGATCACGTTTCCCAACCATCCAGCATCCACCTAAGTTTCTAGCTGTCTCGTGCAGCGCTTTTGGTCGAGGGGATTCGCTGTTTACAGTGATGGCCCCGATTGCTCCTTTGTCTTGGTTCGCGCCTTCGAAGGGCACAAAGCCCCCTCGTAGGCTCACGATGGCGAAAACCTACGCTGTTGACATCAGGTCTGCCATCGGCATGCTAGCGGAATCGTGGAAGGCAGTTACGCAAGAGACTCTGCGAAACTGTTTTTGCCATGCAGGCTTCACACTCGGTCTCGCCTAAAGGGGGACACGGGTCTTTGGGACGAAAAAATCGAATTTGAAAAATGGCAATTTTAGAATCTAGAGGTATTTTTGCACTACTGCAGAAAATTTCTCGGCTCTCGAATTCATACTTTTGCCGTAGCATAACTTAATTTTGCCGAATCTAGCAGAACTACAGCCGAAGTTGAAGCTATAAAGGCACTTTTTTTCCCCAAAACATCGCTGCTGCTTCTCACGTCATAGCGTGGACATCTTGGTGCCATTTGAAAGAGCAATCACTCTTCTTCAATTTCCCACCACTCGCTGATCTCTGCTGCCCTTGGCCTTCTGAAAACGCCGCACCAAGAAACAGTTCCAACGCGACCCCTCATTTGCTATTTAGCGCACGTGACCTGAGCTCTGCATACGATAGGCGGATTTTTTTTTCTCGTCAGTCTGCTCGGCTGCTCACCCGCACCGTTGGCCGCCCCTGCCCTGCACGCCTATGTTTTCTCAGTGTGTGAGCGACTGATGCAGCGAAAACATGGCTCGTAAGAAGGTCCACAGGGAAAAAGCATTCGGTGCAAAAAAGGTGCGACTGGCACTTATGAACAACATCGGCAGACGGAGTGCAATGCAGCTGAACATTAAAGTCGTTGTGCCCGCGGACGCTTACGATGCCGCCGAGATAAGCCTAGGACTAACAAGCCTGTCGTCATCTGAAAATGCCGAAGGTCGCCTGCGTCGGGATACGAAATTTCTGCAGCCGGCAGAATTGGAAGAGGGCAAAAAGAGAGCTGAAGATAACCTGCAGCAGCTATCGTCCAACCCCGCCACAGAAAGGAAGCGAGCCTTACTGATTGACAATGACGATGCCGCACATGAGCCGTTTGACAGGACTGTGTTTACAGTTGTAAGTCTGAGTTTGGTGAATGCAATGCTTGTACAGGCGAAGTGCAAACTGTGCAGTGCTGGGTATCTAGAAATCGTCAGAGACGATCGCGAATACAGACTTGCTGTCAAGTTGCATCTAATGTGCGCTGACGGTGAACGTGTCATGGACGTGGAGCTCAGTCGTGTATCCATGGTGAATATAAAACTAAGCCGTTCTTACGGACTCGCCGTCAAGTTGCATCTAATGTGCACGAACTGCGGTGACGTGTCGTGGACGTGGAGCTCGCCGCGTATCCATGATGAACCATAAAACTAACCCGTTCTTAGTGAACGTTCTCACCACTCGTGCTATGCAAGCTACTGGTAACCGCCAAACGGCTTTCAACAATACATTCGTGATTATGAACATTAGCCGTCGCGACCTCCACACCAAGACGTGGCAAAGTTACTTCGAAGAAAATCTGGCTCCTGCAGCAGATCGTGCATCCCAAAATGTGGCTAGCGAGTGCATGTGTTCGGTTCGCGAGCTTTATCAAGAATTGCGCCTCGGCAACCCTGGAAACATCGCGGTTTCGTACGTTGAGACGTAAATGACCCACGGAACATTCATCCCACATAGGTGTCGGCACCGTGATAGAACTGTTCACGGAGCTTTGCTTAGACTACGACGTCCTAAGCAACTTCTGTGCGGGGTGCGAGACGGGTACAAAGGAAGGTGATCCTTCTTTCGAAGGTTGAAAAAAAGATCACAAATGTCAGAAAAATCATCATCATCATCATCATCAGCCTGACTACGTCCACTGCAGGACAAAGGCCTCTCCCATGTTCCGCCAGTTAACCCGGTCCTGTGCTTGCTGCTGCCAATTTATACCCGCAAACTTCTTAATCTCATCTGCCCACCTAACCTTCTAGAGAGGGAAGTCTAGCTGTACTATTCGAGGAGCTAGAGGGTGTTAAATGGGATATAATAGGGCTCAGTGAGGTTAGGAGGACACATGAGGCCTATACGGTGCTACAGAATGGGCACGTCCTTTGCTACAGGGGCTTGGCAGACAGAAGAGAACTGGGAGTGGGGTTCCTAATTCACAGAAACATAGCGGGCAACATAGAGGAATACTATAGCATTAATGAAAGGGTGGCAGGTATCGTAATTAAACTGAATAAAAGATACAAAATGAAGGTAGTACAGGCTTACGCGCCTACATCCAGCCATGATGACGCTTCAGTTGAAAGCTTCTATGAAGACGTGGAATCGGCAATGAGTAAGGTAAAAACACAGTATACTATGGTGATGGGCGACTTTAATGCAAAGGTAGGGAAGAAGCAGGCTGGAGACCAGGCAGTAGGAGATTATGGCATCGGTACTAGAAACGCCAGAGGAGAGCTACTAGTAGAATTCGCAGAACGCAATAATTTACGGATTTTGAATACCTTCTACCGAAAACGAGAAAACCGCAAGTGGACATGGAGGAGCCCTAATGGCGAAAATAAGAACGAAAT